AATAGAAGCGACTAGAGAGGCATAATAATGACAACAAGAGGGGGGAATATTATGTATATACCGTAGTACTAAATCATAGGAACACACCATGCAAGAGAAAGACCTGGCTCAGAGCACAAAGCCTTGGGTTTGCTCCTATATAGAATTGGCTTTCTTGATTATTACACACTTGACTTTGAAGGTTGCTTTTCCAAATTCATCCACCATTAACTAGCTAGTGCTACTGTTCCTTCGGTCAAATTTTACTTCATATATACGCCTAACCCTTTATGTCTTCTCTTTCTAGGTTTAATTACCAATGAGATGACACCAACCACCTTAATTAACGACGCCTTTAATAATAACTAGCTATTATTGGTAATCAGATTGTGTCCTTTACTTCAACATCCGTAATGTATATATGCACCAAGTCTAGCGTTATTTATACTTTCAAATCATCATCATTTTGATTTGTCACCTGTAATTTACTAAAACAAGTTTCGTTAACTTATTTTTTTCAACCAAGAAGTGGTGATCCATGTTGTAAGTGGCTTCGTTTCTTGTGACGAAGAAACACAAGTTTGGATCTTAAAATCACATTTGTTGATAGAAGAGATAACTTGTTAAATGAGCACTCTTATTCCTCAAATATGAATTAATCGTTTTGCTTGAACACCTGACCCATATTAGAAGGTCAGGGTTTAGAAAAGACACCGGATTTAGGCAATGAGGTTTTCCTTTATAACCAAAAAAAAAAAAATTCTTTAATTTCTTTGGTTTTGCCCAATGTATAATAGGGAGATTTACATGGGGAGAGTTGTAGTATGCCTCCTTAACTTGGAGTCAACTTATCTTAATTGGCGCTTTGTATTAGATATTTAGATATTGAAGAAGAAAAACATGTTAGCATCAAATTACAAAACCACTAAAATGTCTCAAAAAGAATAAAAGTACTAGTTCTTCATGCCATCCCTTAAAGGGGAAGAATTGGCTTACCCTTTTGTCTTTGCATTAAATTGAGAGTAACTGCATGCTCTTCATCACGAGAAGTCAATTATTCAGTCTACACATATATAGACATATTAAATAGGCTAAGCAGAGATTAAAGCGGATTGTATCTAACACCTCTCATCTTATTTGCCTCTAAAACACAACGGTACCGTTATATACAGAAAGAACATTAATCCCATCAGTGGGTATAATTGACATTATCTTTAAACAAAATTTCTAAACTAACCACTATCTCCGATTCTTAATATAAACCTTATTTGATTTTTTTTTAATCTTAAATATAAGATGTCAATCCATTTGTCTCTCATATTTATCCATTTGTTTCCAAGATAGTCCTTTTAATAAAGTAATTCTAACTAATAAACTTGATTAACAAAGATGTTTTATGGAAAAATAACACCTATTTATTACAAATAACTAATTTAATTTATTTCTTAATCAACTTAAATAAATCCACTTAACGCTTATGTTTAGGATAGGAGTTAGTATTACATTTAAAATTGGAGGAAGTTACTTCCAATGACCACATACACTTGCGCACATGCATACATTTACCTGATAAACTATAATGAGAATCAGTTTTTTAGGAGAACCACACCTCAAAAGGCGGTTGTTGGAGTTGGGGAGCCCCCAGGATCTCATAATCCACAGTTCAAGGTTTTCCTCTTAGTATATGAAACTCGTGACAATACACCTCCTCGAGAAGCCAGCTAGTTAGCCCCTCTACAAACTCTTCAATTATACTACCCTCAATTAATAACCATCATAATAGACACAAGTCCTCAAGAGACCTACAAACCAAAAGCTAGCTGTTGAATTTGGAAACTCAAAACTGTATAAAACTCTCTTCATCCTTCATCCCAACTTGAGACTCGTGATAATACTCAAGTGACATGATGCTAGTGAATTATCCTTCTCTTATGCGTCTGTGTGGGGGAGAAAGGGTAGAAAGAGAAGATGGTGTTAGAACACATGCATGTACTGGTTGTAAAGGTTTCAATTCATTGGATAGCCCCACACAAACAAAGCCAAACCGGACGTACAACCCCCACCATGTTTCGATTTTTTCCTCCATTGTCAACGCCTCATTAATTCATTCGTTACAAAGCTGTATTATCGCTGACACACATACACAATATATATATATATATATATATGGTTGTACCGTTCGATATTTGATTGATAATTCACCCCTTCATTAATTCATACAACCTTAATTATGATGATTAATAAATTCCCAACCCCCTTTAATTATTACAGTTAATTGTTATGATCACCGTCTTGTTGACATTATCAATTTCTTGTGTGGTGTTGATTGGCTTAATTATTTTGAAAGAACGGATACAAGTTTTAGATTCATTCAATTAATATTTTTTTTTAAAATATTATATGATATCAAACATTATCGGATTATATATAAGCATTTGTTGGTCCAATTAAAATAATTTAGACAATTTTTTTTGAATCCATAAAATTTGAATTCTCAATATTATTTAAGAAAAATTGAGCCCTTTCACCTGACTAATTAACTAAGTCTTATATTTAAGATTAAAGGAAGTAATTTTTAAGCACCTAAATAAATACTTTTTGAATCATGAGTCTTGACTTGATTTTAGTAATCAACGAAGATTTCGGACCCGATTCAGTCAAATATTTGTTTATAAGAACACAATAAGGTAATGTATTAATTCCATGTAGGATATGCTTTGTTCTAATTTAAATTTTATGTACTAATTTTATAATTAAACCTTTGTTTAGGGCATAAAATCCAAATATAATTTTCTCTCACACCAGTTCGCATGGCACTACGAACTTTTTTGGGCCATGTAATCTCTCAATCTATGGGCTGAAGTGGGTAGGACCAATCCATCTTATCAAATTCTTTTGCAAAAACAAAATGCTAATTTGTTGAAAAACTTCGACGCCTCATTGTTTGTTGAATTTTCAAATTTTCATTTCTTGATGTGATCCCTTGAATAAATTTTCCAAGCAAAGAATGATGATGCTTCCATTTTTATTTGAAGTTTTCGTCTTTCACTCATAACTCTAACAAATTTCATTTCAATTACTTTTTTTTCCGAAAAGATGTATGGATGTAATTATAGAGTCCAGATTTTCTCAACTATTTTCCAATTGATTAACAAAGCAATCATAGCCAAAAGTCACTAATATCATAGCTAAAGCCATTGTCCTTGTCACCAACACTGCCAATATTTCCAAAAGATTTTTTCTCCTAAAATATCTTTTAATTCATCTGGCATTCTAATTTTATTTATGATGCATCTAATATTAATATTATTTTTCTGGTACATTCAACACCATCTGATGTTGTTTCCCAATTATTTTCAACATCATAATTATATTTATAGTGCATCCAATACTCTAAATTATAAATAAGATTAAGGTGTAAGGAGTAATAGACGCACCTGAAAATATTGAAACATACTAAATTTATATATAAATAACTAACTTAACTTATTACTAAAATAAATTTGTTTACTAATTTGAATTAATTAACAAATATAAGAGTTAGTTGACTATTTGAATAGATTAAGGAAATAAGTTAAATTAGTTATTTGTTATAAATTAGTATTTCTCAATATTTTTTATAAATATGTAGTAATATTGAGGTGCTAAATTCAACTTTATCCTTTAAATATTTATAACTCTTACATAGTAATTTACCATTAACCTTTCAAATTTTATTACTAGCATATCTTAAAGGCAAAATAAACTTTGCTTTATATAAACTGAAAGAATCCATTCACAAAGATTTTTTAGGCATCACAATTCACCCCATGACATGTTCACAACTAGGATTTTAAATTTACAGATGTCATGCATTAAGGTGTTTTAAGATATGCGCATAACCAATAGCATATTTATAACTAGTTTTTACAAATTTACAAAATGTATCAAAATCTTAACTTTGCTTTTTGTAAACTTAAAAAGATTCATTTACAAGGAGTCATTCAGGACAATATTTAGCTATAATTTTAAGGAAAAATTAATATTGAAATCCCAACTAAAGAACATAATCAATCAATCAACTATCAACTATCAAGTATGAACTATCAATTAATCAATTATATTCTTAAAAACTTTTAATACTCGATTCTTTCAAAATAAGTCGGGTATAATATTATTGAATCCGAATATATTCAATTAATGAGATTTGAATAACATATTGATTGAAATTTGAATATATTGAATTAAATAGGAAATATTATAAATAAATGATATTTCAATTGGAGGCTCAAATGAAGAAATTATTAATTAATTTTGAATTTGAATAATATCTTCATTAGAATTGAAATATATTACAATAAATGTGAAGCATCATAATTAAATAGTATGTGAATCGAGGCTTAAATGGAGAAATAAATAAATAATTTAAATTTTTATCTATTCCTTCTAAATTCCACATCTCTAATTCAAATTCTATTTGGATGAATAAAAAAAAAAATGGTACCCCATAACAAGTAAATCTTGAGCTATAGTCAATTTATTGTAATTTTAAATCTGATCATATATGTTAATCCATGCATCGCATAAGGAAAAAATTTCTAATTACTAAAAAATCCCAATATTAGCTAATAATAAACGTCCTGCAATGACAAGTTTCAAAATAAAAAATAAAAACCACTTACTTGTTATTAAGACCTATTGATAATTATTTTTTTCTTAAGTCCTCGTTACAATTCTTTCTAATTTTTTAAAGCAGAGCCATCATATTCTCTTATAGACTTTATAACATTTGTTGTTTGTTTTTGTTCTTTTCTTTTCTTTTGGTCACAAACCAACGCGCGTAAAAGCAAACATTTATGAACCTCATCAAAATCTAGTCTTTATTAACAAAGTTCAAAACATATGCAATAGCCGAGGAAATGGCCTAGGACTGAAGAAGTATTACAGTGCCGTGATCAGCATGAACATGGAACTTCTCCCATTCTAGTGCTGGATAAGAGTTTATCTACATAAACTAAGGTTTCTTTCATAATATGCCTAAGACTCTACACCAAGCTCCAAAAGTAGTGTGTGATTAACTGCGGTAGCTCCCGGACCAGAGAATTGAATGGGACCTGCAGCGAATGTTATATTGTTATTTGTTAATACCAGAAGTCACAATGGAGAGGAGACAAGCTCCAGTTCATCATAAAGGCAGCTTTCATGCTACACCACTTTTTTCACAGTTAATTTTTATCAATTTGAATGACAGTATTAGCGAAGTTAAAAAACAAGATCTTTTTCAGATGAAGGCATGGTTAAACAATCCGTTACTAGTATAAGAATAGAGCATACCTGGACACATGTAGCGATTCTTTAGGGCCCACTCATCCCTAACTGAAGCAAACTTTTTAAAGGGTGGCCCTGGATAATTCAGCATCAAATGTAGTCTTTTAATATTGAAGATTAGCGGGGAGATGATAGAGAAAAAGAAAATCACCATTTTAGCACGTATTGCAAGATTCATGTTTAAAATGAAAATAAACTCACCAAAAACAAAAGACAAATAGATAATCTTGACATTCACAAGGGGCTGTGAGATTACGGTTATGCCATGATGGTTGGTGATAAAAAAAAGGAATAGAGTCATCCTATGCACCACGCTCAAGGGCTTATGTAGAAAAAGTATTTCTTTAATTCTTTCCCTTTCATTCCTTTTGTTCTTCTCATTTCAAGACGGTGAACACTATAGTTCAATTTTTCACCCATTTATCCATTCTGAATCCTTTAGTCTTTGATTTAAACTGAATAACTAGTGTTTGGATGATTAAATACCTTCAAGTTCAACCATTGCCTTCTTGATCACAGGCTTAAATTTACCTGCAAAAAATATCAAAACATTTATAAACTGCAGATTAACATTCATAGGAGTTGGACCATGGGGACAAAATGATATTTCATTTATGCTTAATCCGGGAATAGCGATTGGAAGCTCTGATGGAACAAAATGTACCGCGTCTCCTCTCAACATCCATCATTGAGGTAAGTGCCGTTCCACCAACAGTCCATTCTTCCACCGGAGCACTCAAATTCCCAACCTGATAAAAATATAACAACAGAAAAAGGGTTTAGCAGACAGTTTTAAAGCCACCAGACAAACAATTTTAAAGTGCAATTATCAACGCCAGCTGAAACGAAGAATGTATTCAGGTAATCAAAAGATGATGAATAAGGCATGGGGAGAAGCACAAACTGATGATATTAATCCAGTCTTCCCACTATGAAGAAGGGCTCCAGCACCATAGCCCAATGCATAGCAGTACATAGCATCAAAGTTAGTTGGCAAGCCGCATCTCCCTTCGTAGCTGCACATTTAAAGCAAGTGAGGGTAACTACAAATTCTAACAAATCAAGTCAAAAGATGGTGACAAGAAAATGCAGGATCAAAAGAAATTATCAAACCGATTAAAAGGAAAGTAAGAGAGTATGCACTGAGAAGTTCTTTATATTCAGAACGTGATTCGGAACATGAAAGTGAAGATAATGAGTGATTAGATAAAATACCCAAAAAAGTGAGACTGCCCTTTGAACTCCCTTTTATATGAACCTTCTTTCTTTCTCTTCTCCAACTCAGCATCAACCATCTGAATAAGCATTTTCTCTGTTTCTATCTTGGCAACCTAAGTGGGAAAAGGGCAGCACGAACTTCAATATCTAGTCAAGTGCAAAATGGGAACAGAGAATACCAGAAAGAAAAGTGTGTGGGACCTGAACATTTCCATGTGGATCTCTTTCAAGCATCAATTGTTCTTGAATGGATCGAGGTAAGAATTCAAAAAGCTTTAATGACTGATCAGCAAGTTTCTTCTTCCATAGCCCACCTTCATCCACAGTACCATTGGCGAGGATTTCATTTAGTTCAGCAATAAGCTGCTGGACCTGCAAATGGCACAATAACATAAAAATGTCTATCATATGAGAATCTTACATCACAAGTGAAAAAAGGCAGAACGAGACAGAATTTAAACACTTCTACGCAGAGTGATAGATACCTCAGGGATGAAATCAATTAGACCTTCAGGGATAAGGACGACCCCGTAGTTATAATTAGCTTCAGCACGTTTACAAATAATATCTACAATGTAGTCTGTGACATTTTTCAGGGTCTGCTTCTTGACAGCAACCTGTAACAAGACAGCTCCAGGTCAATTCTTCAGTGATATTAGAGGCCTTTCACAAATTGTGCATCATTGTTGCTTAAACTGCACTGGACTGCAATCAGTTCAGGGGGCAAAATCCAAACCAGAAATCAAACCAAATAAATTTTTAAAATTTAAATCAAATAACAAAGTACATATTCTTTTTTTTTTACTTTTCTTTTGATAGTATGCGAAGTATATACTCTATTTCAATATATTATTACATATTATGATGTATAATATATAAAAAATAAGAACAACATAATTACACACAAATATTTCCACAAACTTATTTTTCACTTCATGGATTATTTTATAGTGTATTTTATAAGCATTGGTATCAAATAAATAATTTTGATTACATGAACCTGGCAGAAGAACTGACCTCTGGGTTGAGGTAATGTGAGCCAATCTGTAAACCAGGTTTAATTCCCCCATCCCAGGCCCTTTGCCATATTTTTCTCTGAATTGAACATATGGAAGCTCAAAGGATGGATAGCATGGTTGTCTCAAACTGGCACCAGCCTTTTTTTTTTTTTGGGGAGGGGGGGAGGGAATTGGCTTCTCTTAACTCAATTTAACATTAAAGAAAATTATTGAGTACTAGCTAATCACTAACGTGGCCAGTTCAGGGTTGGACTGACTGAATTGATGCAAGCAGGTTTTCAAAATAATGCATGTCATTGAAACTCAGAATAAGAAACGGTAAAAGGAAGCATTTTCTCTACACGAGAGTTGGGAGGGGAGCTGGAGAGTGCTGGCAGTCATATATGAGTTTGCTTGAGACGATGAGTTGGTTCATCTCACATGCTATTTCCTAAGCACCTCATTCTGCTATGCCATTTTCCACATATAGGACGAAGTAATTATTAAGGTGGCAGGCATAATTGTTTTGCATCACGACTCCTTCACATTTTTGTGCTTTTGGTTAAAATTTTTTACCAAGCTTAGTGTCATTTTGATTTGAAATGACATATGGCTTCTCAAATACCTCCACAACTACACAAAATCTATAGTAAATTACTTTCCTTTCTCTTAATCCTGAGAGAGTTAGAATAGCACATCTTTTGATTTCATGGGAGGATGATGTAATTCTTTAATATCATTGGGCAGTACAGAGTAGAATTGAATCACAAGATCAACAATAAAACATCTCAATATGATATTCAAACTCTAGAATGCAGGCACTAAATGAGTTAACTGAGTTTATAAAAGACCTCTTCTCCAATAATAGTAATGTTGGGATGAGTTTGTAAAGCACATTCCAGTGTAATGTGTGAAGCTGCACGTCCCATAAGCCGCACGACTGCAGCAAGAAGTTCAAATCTGTTATCCATGGCTTGGAGTTCATCTAATATATAGAGAGGGGGGGGGGGGATTTAAGGGTGGGGAAACTGCCACCTAAAGTTAATGTTTAAACATGAATCATATGATGTAAACCCTCCTTTTTTCAGATCATATCACATTATACTAAGAAAAGTACTGCACTCCGTGGATGCTGGAACCAATTTATATCAAAACTAATCTTGAGGCCATAGATTATCTCAATGACTGAATAAAGAGCCCTCTAAGTTACCCTTATACAACATTAGAGCATGATACATCTATTTTTCCAAGGGAGCCAGAAACATAATAAGTCACATGATAATGTTGGGGAAAAAAAAAGGCAAGAGAGGTGCATGAACAGGGGCATCATTGTTTGAAACTAAAGAGGAATATTTTCATATAATCATGTTAAAGTTATTCTTTGACACAAACAAAACGGGGGAAGGAAAATATCCATATTGCAAGTAATTTGTGATAGAAAAGATGGCAACTGTGACATGCCACAGAGTCGCAAGTGATATGAACTTACGACTCAGATCTTCTGATGTTAGGAAAAAAGTGCAAGATGTTTGAAAGGTAAAGTAGTCCAATTTGCAAGGAACAGGAAGCTAGGAAGTGCAGACCAGCAAGAACAATCAATGGAACTCTATATGGTCATGAGTCTGGAATTGCCAAATATTATATATACATCTCTATTGAGTATACTTACAATGGTAATATTTTCCACTTGATCGTGCATCTACCATAACATTTCCAATCATTTCCGAATATATCTGCATTCAATCCACATAACAACATAAACAAAGCTTGGTCATGTAGTTATGCAACATGTATTTAAGAAGGGATCAAAATATAGCATCGGTGATGTTTGAAATAAATAATCATGTAATAGTTTCTGGAAAGGGGGTGAGACCCTTATCACATAAATGCCTGAGAAGAGGCTTTATGGGTATCATGCTTTCTCAAGGGCTGTTTCTCATGCTCTAGGATAGTTTCTCAAATTAATTCATAGGGATAGGAGCAGTATTTTGAGCTCATGAATTCTCTTTTGTTCTCTATCTTTTCTCCATGTTTGTTTAGAAGGTTTTTAGTGTTCATTTGTACTAATCTTCCTTCTCACATCGAATTCATAATAACAAAACTCACGTAAATTACGCTCTGCTATTGGAAGGTAAAAGCACCCATGAGGCTGCTTCTGATTTTCGACCCCAGTGCTAACCCTCACCTCATTTTATCTCAGAAAACAGATTTCTGCCACCCATAGAAACTGTGAAAATTGATTATGGAGTCTTGAAAATCTAAACTGAATTTTGTATTTAAAAATTGGCAGTAAGAAGTGGTTGCGCAGCTACACTCACCTTGCATGCAGTATCAAATCCAAAACTCGTAGGAACTTCTTTGCATTTCAAATCACCATCAATGGTTTTAGGGCATCCAATCACTAGTGTTTTCATATTTTTATTCCTGCATTCACCAACATAAACAAACAGCCGTCAAACAAAATGGGATGACAATATATTTTTGAATAGAAAATGTTTCTCTCCTCATATGCAAGTTCCAAAGCCAACTTGATATTATAATGATGGGTAAAAAAACCCAGAAGGTGATTTGCAAATTAAACAAGAAAAAATCATCAATGCTTTAACAAGCTTATTATAATATAGATCATGTCAAAAAATGAACCTTCATCAAGACAACCTGAAGTTTTCGGCAAGAAGGCATGCATTTGTGTTTGAGTCATCCCCACCAATAACAAGAAGCCCGTCTAAGTCCAGCTTCTGTACTGTGTCTTCAGCTTGTTTAAACTGAACAAGTAAATTAAATTACTCTTCACACTAATGATGTAGGTCGTAGAAAAACTAGTCATATAATCATACATATACATATATGCTATATCTGGCTGTACCTGCTCTGGAGTTTCAATCTTGTCTCTACCACTGCAAATCATGTCAAAGCCACCCTGTGCATGCAGATATTGATGCAAGACGTAATTATTCATCATAAGAAGATCAATAGTGATATCATGCACTAAAGCTTTAGTTATAATGGTTCGACTAACCAACTCTGATGTACAAACTATGAAACTTAAACATGACAACTATTTTCAAGATTTTTTACAAAATTTATGACAGGTTTGACGCATTAAGTGCCAGAAACTCGTGAAATTGAAAAGAGGTGAGGAAGATAGACCTGATTTCTGTATGGATAAATATAGTCAGAGTTCAGTTCAACGTATTTGCACTTCATGATGCCAGCAGGACCACCCCTGAAACCATATAACGTGCTTCCTTTTGCGCGCTGTTGCAGGTAATCTTAAAAAATAAATAAAAAAGCATTATACAAATTAAGTTCCACGACACAGGTCGAGCCAAAAGATACCGAGACATCCCATTCAATTCAAATAAAATGATCCTCACCGAAAATTCCAGAAATCACATTATGACCACCAGGAGCTTGACCCCCTGACAATACCACACCAATTTTCAACTTCTTATCTGGCAGCACTGTATCAGAATCGCCGGGCACCAACATTGCTGAAGGCTGCCCAAACAAGTTTGGAAACAGTTTCGCAATTTCCTCTGCAAAATTCAACATCAATCAAGTTCCAAAACTAATTAACCTGACCAATTAGTAAAAACCCGCATGAAAGAAAAATCTTAAACTCCACCATCAACCATCCGACATAATCCACATTTCAATTCAACTAACTGAGAGAACTCGACCAGTCACAAATTAAAATTAAAACAGAGCGTATAGCAATTGATCGACCATCACAGAATTTAAACCCAAACGAAAGGCAAAGGAGAAGAGACAAACCTGGGTGTCCAGCGGCGGAGCTTCGGGGACCATCAACAACCTTAAAAGGATTTCTGAGAACGGCGGGAAGAGGAAGATCGTAGTCAATACGACTGGTTTGAACATCACTGTAGACGGAGGTGAGACGACTGGTGACAGAAGGAGTGGTGGACCCACCGGCGGCGAGACCACCGTTTGGTAAAAAAGACGGTGCCATTGTTGATCAGACCTAGCAGAGATGATCACAGCGACAGTTTTCTCAGTGAGAATATATGCGTGTGTGTGTGTGTATATGAAAGGATGAAACTTTGTCCGATAGCGAAAGATAATAATCCAAACCAACCCAGAAAAATGGGTCTTTTTTTTTTTTTTTTTTTTTTGGGTTTAGGCAGTGAAAATGCGACCGTCATTGTTAATCTTCTTGACCAGACGGATACACATTGTTCGAATTTTTTTTTTTGGTTGCCCAAAACATATTGACCAAAACAATGTGTTAATTAAATAGCACTAATAATTAAATTAATAATTATTCAGCTGGCCTAATGATCCACGTGTTCCAGGGTGAAGATGAGAGATTATCGCAATTCAGAGAGTTGGATCATCTCGAGCTCAGTACTGTACTACTGTGTTGGCATGATGTTTGGTAGGTGTTCCAGGAAATTTTTTTCAAATACTTATGTCATAAAATTAAACAAGCACTTAAAATATTAATTAACCAGTCCTGGGTATCATTTTTTAAAAGCTTTGATCCGATCTGACACGAAACATTAAAAATGAGAAATAAGAATTATGATTGAGATTGAGAGAATGTATTAAAAGAGTGTTTGGTATAAGAGATTGTTTGTTACATATAATTGGACAAACTCATATATATAGGATTGAGAAATACCATGACAGGAGATGGTATTTCCCAATCTCACTTTTATAGATTTGTCTAATTCCATGTAATAAGTAATTACTTATGTTAAAAATCTTTTTAATGATTTTTCTCAATTATAATTTCAACCCATATCTCTTATTTTCAATGTTTTATATCAAACAGAACTTTTGGAAAAAAAAAAAAACAAAGAAAATTTTGTTCTTTGATAATTCTGGTAAAAAGTTGTAACAAAAAAAATTTCTTTTGGGGGGTGGGGGATACCCTTAGTAAGATAATTACAGATTAGAAACTATTTTACACATGATGGATTAGGCAATGAGTTTCAGATCTATGGCCCATGGAAGCAACAGATAATATTAAATATTGATACAAAATAATAAAAAATATTGTTAACTTTAGTGTCAATCAATCATTCTAAATGCATGCTTCCTTCCTAATCATATCAATTTGTATATGTGAAAAAGGAATATTCAATATTTCTTAAAAATTAAAACTATCAAATATTTTGGTTGAGGATATATACTGTTAGTAGCAATAACTAATCTTCCCTTATCATAGATTTTTTGAATAGATTTAGTGCTGGCCACAACATTCTTACCACATAAACTAGCAAGGATCAAACTTCTAACTAGATGTTTAAGAAATCCAACTAAATGCCAACTATGTTAGGCCTCGTATTTATAAATATTTAAATATACATAAAATATCTTTGCCCATTTACATATGCTTTATTTATTCAACTTGCATTATATTATATTATGCGTGTGTTAATTATTAATTGTTAACCTTTTTAATGAAATCAATGGGTTAATGCGTCATGAGTTTATTTTACCACCAGTGTCTCCTTGAATCGGTGGATGGTTCTTCAATGAAACAATTACGTGGCCTCAAACAAAATCTAGAATAAACATACACTATTGAACTCTTAAAAGTATATCTACACATTTTTTTAATATATTTTGTTATGGTACGCCTTTGAACTCTAAAATAGATTACTTGTTTGTTGTTGAATTGCATGAAAGAATAAAAACATGACACATTGTCATCAGTGCACTCCTCTCAATTCTCTCTCAAGTCATCCATGGCGGCAAAACCCCATCAATTACCTCTCTAAGTCCTTCATAGTCTTCATCCAATAGCATGAACGTTTTTCTCTCATGATATGAGTTTAATAACTGTTAGATTGTTAGTGCCTACTTTATAATTATAAAAAAAGAAAACCATATTAGAGGTACATATACTTTCTCTCAATTTTCAATTTGGTACCTATGTGTTTTTGTTCTTAACTAAATCTTAATTTTGCTCTATTAATATCATTAATCCTTATGTAAAGACTAAAAATATCAATAAAATAAAGTTATAAGAGCTAATGTTGCTAAAAAGATAAAATTAAATGTTTAATTAAAGGGAAAAAAACACATAGGTACCAAATTAAAAATTGAGAGAAAGTATAGGTATCTCCAATATGGTTTTCCCTTATAAAAAAATACCACTCAAGTCAAATAATGAGTCATTGATATTGACCTAAGAATTAAACTAGAAGATCGTGAACCGCTGGAATATTTCTCAGCAATAATGGTTGATCGATGGCCATTTTATCCTGTGTTTGATATGAAGGAAATAGAAGAGAGAAGAACGGTACGAGGGATTTAGGTCCTCAAAAATTAGTTGAAACTGTAAATGAGGTTGATCAATGTTTCTCTCAAAATAAGGCATCTTTAGATAATTTCTCAAAATGAGGCTGACCAGTTTCTTGAATTAAGTGAGAGATGCAAGGAGCTAAAAAAGGCTACTACATTCAAAGGATAAAAATAATGTCTAAATATCTCTGCTTGTAGAAAAGATGGACGTCATTGCAAGTGCTTTGCGCAAAAGGGATAAAGCATTTAAAGAGAGATATGCCTTACAAATAAAGTATTTAAAGTATTGGAATGCTACGGAATGCAAAGGAAAAAATTTTCTTAGTGATATTTGATACAACAGAAAAAGAAGAAGATTGGAAACGATTTGATGTGAAAGGATTATTAACTTGTCCCACGCCTTTAACTACATGAAAATTAAGGACAAAATAGTCTTTTAAAACATCCTATCCAACTTAACTAATTTGAGTAAATAAAAAAAGTTAAACAAATAGGTTAATTATAATAAATATAATTTGATCTTTTTAAAATACCCTAAGTAATATTATACTATTAAATGTATTACTTTACAAGTTAGGTAAATTAATTTAAAGAAAAATAACAACTATGAGAAACACAATAGATTGAAATCTTATACTCCTCCAGTCCTTAATATAGGACTCAATTGTTGAGTTGTTTTGGTCTTAAATATAAGACCAATTTATCATAATTATCAATTTTCTCTAAATTACTCCTATGGATACTTCCTCAACCATAATCAAGTAGAAAAGGGAGATGGGGTATTAAGAAAGATGATTATGGTGTTTTAGGAAAAACGCGTCACATTTCTTATAATTAACTAACTTACCTAACTTCCTTAATCTAATCAAATTAGTTAAATGAGTCTTATATTATGGACCGGAGGAGTATTTAGTACCAGATTTAATCCTCAACTAATTTTTATATCTATAGTTGGATGGAAAAAATTTCTAACTCAGTTTCACAATGAATAATGTAGGAAAATCTATTGAAATTAAAATCTACCAAACATGAAAGTTGGTCATCTGGAGTCTCTTTTCATTTCTTTTCCACCCCACTAAGCCAAGCCAATAAAATGATGCTTTCATTATCTATAACAACCTCACAACAATGGCAAACTACTCAGTGCATTTGAGATTTAGGGACTAGCTTGCAATACAAACTTTTAAGCCATAAGGATCAACTTCAAAATGTGAGTAAAGCATAAGGGTTAATTAGTGAATTTTTCCTTTATCTGATTTAATGCAATTTGAAGAGCTTATCCACAATTAAAGGATAAGATCATGACAAGGTGATGACTTGTCAGTCTCTATTCCTCCTTCAGTGCTTGGTCCATCGTTTTCTTGAATCCTTCATCCACACGTACATCATAAAGGGAGGCAAATTAATTAATTAAACAACTTCTTATAATTCTTCCATTTGTTTTCTAAAAACCACTGACGCCTTGACGTTATCACTGGTTAATTTGTAAAAATCATACCTAACCCAGTGATTAGTTACAATAATTCAATATGTATGTGAAATTAAACAAAACAATTTAGAACTATACATTATTCTGTGTTCTTGTTAAACTGCGCGCAATTTCTCATGCAAAATTTCTATATTACGCAGTAATTCAAGGGTTAATTGTGGCTGGTTGGTTTATATAATAGTAGGTGAGTTCTGTAACGTGCTCGCCATTTTATGTCATCTGGAACTACTTCACAATGATTTAAAAAAATAGTTAAGAATAATTTATATCATACAATGGCAAAATATTATTATTGTACTTTCTAAGTTTACCTCCTAATTAAAATCAATCCATCTTAATTATCTTTAATTTATTTCTTTTATAATCTCTCTTTACAATACATTTAATAAGAGCATATGTGGGAAAGAAGAATTCAATGCTATTGATTTTTTTTTTTTGTTTTTTGCAAAGTGTCTTATATTTAGAATTATATATATATATAAAACTTCCTAGAAGATATTTTATATTAAGATTAGGAGTGAGTAATTAATTAAGACCAAATATTTTTAGCAATTCTTTTTGTAGAACCATGGTTAAATAATGATTCTGTGATGTTTAGGCCAACAGCAGTCATTACTTTCTATGCCAACTTAATTATTTCTGCAGATTAAACCTTTTAAACATTGGGGTTGAGTTCTTATATACCTAACCACAGTTTTCAGATAATGTGGGCTAAATTTAAAAATTAGCCGCATCTTTTGAAATATCACAGCTTAATCATGTTATTTTAATTCGGTTTCAAATAAATAAATCATGGCTAAGTCTCTACGTACTTAATTACGATTTTTCAAAAAGTGGTGCTTATGTTACTTTATTTACTATTAATTCATCACTCTAAATGAAAATTAGCATTCTAATTTCGCTTATTAAAAATCGGGGTTAGGATGAAAATGGATCGCCAGTTCCTTAAAATCTTTCTGGTTAAAATTGAAAATGAACAATATTTATATGAAATTAATGATAGATATATAACTTTTGTAAATTAAACATTCAAATCAGAATTCTTCTGGGGTTTAAATTCAAATTTAAAATATTTGAAAATTTTGGCGTATTCTGTAAAATCAATTTTAAAACTGCAAGTTTCTCTTCTTCTTTTGTATATCAAAAGTTCCTGAGAGATTTTTAAAAAAAAATGAAGAAATTTGACTAAAATGAAAATTTTCATATGTCTGCACGTGTGCTAGAATAACTTGATCAAAGGGACTAATGTACATATTCGAAAAATAAATAATAATTTATTAGTAGTATTAAATATTAGGGTAGGGGAGTGAATGGAAATGGAATCAAATTTTGGTCAGTATGACCATTTACATTTTAGTATAGCACAATAACTCTCACGTATAATAACAATATATTATCCTTTCTGGGGTTTTTATTTTATTTAGATTAAAAAATTCTTTACGCTGGGCATGCGAAATTATTTTTCATGCGGGTCCTATTAGCTTTTAATAATAAATTTATATATTATTCATATAGCAATTGGATTGTTTACCCCAAAATTCTCATTTTGTACTTCATTTAAAAACATTTACCATTGTAGTCCAAAAAAATGGTACCAATCTTATTACCCATTGTTCGGTCAAAAAATCTTATTACCCATTGGGCTATGTTGGCAAAAACAAAATTCCCATTGGGCTACTGATCCATGACAAAGCAACATAAGCCCAATACCTACTATTTTTGGGTCTAGCCCAATTCCTATTCGATTATCTGGTTTTTTTTTTTAAATTTACATACACAGTGAAACAATAATATAAGCTCGTGTATCAACCAATGGAATGGGTTTGTTGTAGTGGAATGGATTAATCCCTCGTAACATATAGCAAACTAATGTTTGAATTTTTTCTAGAAGAGATCCCACATTTAGTATTTGATAATACTTTGAATATGATTATCTCCCATATTGATGAGGGTTGAGTCTAACAAAATAGGCTAGTCCTTCATAACATGAAGAACTAAAGTTCAAATCTTTGATGGGAGAGATACTCATATTTAATGTTTGAAAGTGTTTCAAATAGAATTACTTTCAATAAAAAAATATTTATACATAGCAAAGAAAAAAAAAAGGATTACCTCTCCTAAGAGTATAGTTATGTGTAATAGTGAAAAAAGATATTGTGTTATGTTATTTTTTTTCATATTCTTTCCTTATTATTTTTTTCTTTTATTAATTTTTCTCTCCAGTCCTATTTTATTTAAAATTTTTAAAATTTTAAAGAATTTAAACCCAAAGCTCGAGCGTGGACAGACTCCAAACAATCAAATACCATCATTTTGACGTTCCAACTTCAAACATCACAACTACAAATTCAAAAATCAAAAGAATTAACGAAATGATTAAAACTACCACTGAATCATTATCATCATCTTCTTCATATTCGCTTGAGGATGTAACTGCTGCTGTTGCTGACTCTTCCTCTACAAAACAGATTAAGAGAAATCCAATTTATTAATATCTAATAAAAAAATGAGACAATACAAATTGAAAATGTTATTAAAATACGTGCAACAACACTTGCACTACTCTTCGCAAAATTAATAACATCAAGGTCCTTGAGTTTGGTGTCCTCATAAATAGCCAATTTTGGGCACATATGAATGCCTTATATATCCATCTTTCAAGATAAGAAGCTCCTGAAAGTATCTAGTACTCAAATCCTGATACTAAAAGCCAATTTTGAAGATACTACAAAGATATGCGTAGTCAACAAATCAGGTGCCACTAAATTTAGAACTTTACACTTGGAAACATTCCCTTTCTACCATGCCAAAATCTTAAATATTGGATTACAAAAATCAATTAAATCAGCTTGAAGCATCCACCTCAAAAATTTTATCTACATTATACGCTATGTCTGCAGTGGCTAAGAATTTTTGCAATGTGATATCAATTTCAAGTTCAATCTCGAGAAATAACATATTATTCCACCACCACTATCATTTGCTTGCTCGATTGTTGGTTGAGATCCAAATGCTTCACCACGATTAAGATCAATAACACTAGTTGAATGTTGTTAATATAAGCAACGCAAGATATTCATAACTTGAGTTACAGGCGGGTGTATTGGGTTATGGGTGGCTTACTCAGCCTTTTAACGAATAATAATTCTTGTTTAGCAAATGATGACAAGAACAACTTAGCCAACTGTGGCAAGTTAAACAGATACCTCCATATGAATGAGTAGAATAACTAAGCTAATACCAACTTTCGCTTAACAAATAATAACAACATACAAGCTTGTCATTATTATATAATAGAATCATTATTTTTTTTAATCGTAATCATTTAACATTCAATATTATCGGGCTATAATTATACTTGAATCTCATCATGCTTAATTGCAAAAGCTCTCCTAATATATATTATTTCTATAATTCAAAACCTCGATCTTATTGAAGCAAGATCGTTTTTCCTTAAAAAAAAAAAAATTAACCCCAACCACTTTAAATTTAAATCAATATGTGCTAGGTGTGCAAATACAGTCTGTCTAGTGATTGCCTATTGTTATTAAATATATAGCTGTTTAGTGTGAAAGGACACATACACAGGCTTAATCTTTAATAAACTAATGATGATTATATTAATTAATGGATCAACATGTGCTTTTAGTCATGCGCTTAAACAAGTTGCTTGTACTGAAAAGACGAGGTTCATATTTCTCATCAGTACACTTACCAGTGAAGTGAGGAGACATACATATGTAATCAATGTTAATCACATGCTAATCACTCGATCACTGTCTTGTTTTGTGTGCTTAATCCTCTTTTTGTAATTAGCATGCAGATGACGAAATCTTGTAAAGAGATTCTTAATTAGCTGTCTTTGTAATCTTTGTCTGATTTTCTCCATCATTCGCCTTAACTAACCTCTAGCTATCACCTAACAAAGCTAAATCTGATTAATTAATTTAGTATTATCAATGACTAATGATAATACTACCTCCAATCCTAATTATCTGCAAACAGGGTCTTATAATTAGGACAGAAAATAGTAATACAAAACATTATTGATTCAAACTTATATTCCACGTTCAGTTCATCTAGTCATTCTTAATTTGATGGAATAATGGTAGCTGAAACAAACTGCCAGGAATCTAGACATCTTTTTTTTTCCATAATTGTTTTTCGAGTTCAAAAGGGAAGAATAATGGGTCATATTCGTTTATATCTTTGGGGGGGGGGGGACTTTCCTTTTCCTTAAATTAAGCAAAGTGTGCCAATGCTAACATCAAAATAAATTAGTTCAAATGCACCCAAGTTAGTCAAATGAATCTCTATGAATTTCATAACAGAAATGACCAAACTAATAAATTGACCATATACCAATTTGATTATAATATTAATTAATTAAATTATTGGCGCGCTTCATAAGTCTAGATAACTTCTCAATTTCTCTATGAAAAGGATTAGAGGTAATACTGGAGGGCTTTCTTTCCTTTTCTTCTTTTGATTTTTTTTCCTGAAAATTTGAGAATATTTCGAGTTAAGTATTTGATTCAAGTGTGTTAAGAACTCAGTATTAACACTAATAAATATACGGAACAATATGTTATGAAACATGTACACATTTTATTTTTAATTACTTAAAATATTAACTTATTTAATTATTAGACTAATGTATGTTTAATATTTTAATTTTCATAACTATTATTATAATTGTTTTATACCTACTTATAATTGTGCTATAACTAGACTTGAAGCAAAAAGCTGACTAACAATAATAGATAGCGATAACATAAAAAATAAAAAGTAATGCTTCAAATTCCAAACCATCGCATTCACTTAATCTAGTCATCGTTTGATTTGTTGAAATAATGGCTTAAACTGATTACCAGGAATTTAGACATCTTTTTTGCCATAATTATTTATTTTTCATGTTCAAAGAAAAATGCGCTTTATGGTAATGGAATACTTTTTGTGTTCCTTTTCCCCACAATTAAGCAAAGTGTTCTAAAACAGAATAAATTAGTAAAATGCATCCCACAAATGATTGAGTGTATTGTATATTATATTGAAGTTACAATAAAAGCCTATGCTTTATATATGGAGTTTGAAAAATTAATCATATTATTGGTTGCTTCTGAATAGCATGGCTTTATAAGATTTTTTTATATGTATAGTATATAAATGAATCTTTATGAGATTAAAATGATATCAAAATCAGAATGCACTAGACAAATTTGCTAGATATCGGTTGATTGTAATAATAAAATATGATTGTGTTTTTAATTTCCCATTCTTATATGTGTGTGTATTATAAAAACTCTAAACTAAACTAGATATATATATAAACAGTGCAATTCATTGTTTTTAAAATTTCATATGATGTATGAAATTACCCATACTAAACTTTTGCATAAAAAAGGTTTGAGAGAATATTGGAGGGTTTTCTTTTTCCAAAATTAAATATTTTGAGTTCAAGTATTCAAGCACAAAATATGTTGAGTACGAAACATTTACTTTATGTTTAACCACTTAAATTATTAACTCATTTAGTAATTATCGTGCTATAACTAGACTTCATAATGTTCCTAATTTCCTAATAATATATGCCACACTTTCCAAAATTAAGCATGGTGTGCTTGATCAGATACATATAGCCTATATACGACACATAGTCTCTTTGTTCCCAAATTAATCATACTTTACGCTATAAAGCCATGCATGCCACCTAACAGTTATCCCACAAAGAGAACTTGAAATCATGGTTAGTTTGAGTTCATTAAACACAATCATATTTCCGAATTAACTATCACAAAAATGTTTCCCATCTGCCCACCAAGCAAGTTCTTTAGAACCACTTTAAAATTCTGTGAACATGGGAACACAATGATTCACTTTTGCGACCCACTTATGGTGATCAGATACAGATAATAATACATAAGTTTAATTTCCCCTTAGTTATTTCAAAATCCCAAAGCTTTCATCCCTCTCTTAATCTGCTTGATTATATTCTTTCTTCAGAATAATAATGAAACCGTTGAGACAGCAACGAGTCTGCAAGGCCTTGTGTTGCAGCTGTAATTGCAGACTCAGTGTTTCTTCTTCCTCAGAACTAGAAGCAGAAAGCAGTTCTTCATCAGCTTCTGATAGGTTCCCTTCTGTTTCAAGCTTAGCCCACGCCATGGTTCAAGAAAGGCTTGATCAGATGATAAGAGATCAGAGAGAGAGGAACATGAGGCTTCACCATCATCATCATAATAATAGTCATCTGCAACAGCATCATCATCGTCTTCATGATCAGAATGATCTGCAGAAGAAGCGAAGAGAAGAAGCTGCTGCCGGGACCAAGTTCGTGGTGATGATGGCGATGGAGAAGAGTTCTTATGATCCAAGAGAGGATTTCAGAGAGTCCATGGTGGAGATGATAATGGCGAATCGACTTCAAGATGCTAAAGAACTTCGGAGTCTGTTAAATTATTATGTTTCAATGAATTCACAAGAGTACCATAGTCTTATACTCGAGGTCTTTCATGAGGTTTGTACCAATCTCTTCTTATCATGTAAATGCCAATATTGGTAATAACAAATTATTGGAAATTAAATTGATTCCCCAGCATCTTTTTTTTTCCCCTCTTCTTTTTTGCTCAAAAGCTAGTAAGTTTACAATTTCAGTGAATATATCTCACTTTTAACATGTGCAAATTGATAATCTTAACCCACTAAATATAAATCCCCTTTTCTTAGGAACATGATCTTGAAAGCATACTCTTTTTTCTATTGATATTTTTTTTTGCAACCTCTTTTCTATTGATATAATGCATTCAAAATTTTAGTCTCACATTAATTAAATGATCACTAAAGAAATCTAACTCAAATCGTTAAGAAATGATATATATAAATATATATATATGTAAGTATATAGTACCTTACATTTTAGTTAGCTCCAAAAGTAGGAAATTCAAAATGTGAAACAATTCTCAAGAACAAAATTTGATTTCACTAGACTTATGACAAAAATTATTACATCATGAATTGAAGGGATCAGACTTTAACCATCCCCTGCGAATCAACAGCTATAGCTAGATATATAAATCTGCTGCTGAATCATCATGGCATGGATCTATTAATGCCTAGAGAGAAACCAAATTACAAAAAATATAATAATAATGATTAATGATCATATATATATATATAAATGATCATCTTCTTCACTTGTTCATCCCTGTTGCATCCTTCACTGCATCAGCAGCTCCTTGTGCCTTAGCCTGCATCTGCTGACCAGCCTACAATACAATACAAAAATTCACTTTAAACTATATGTATACATACACACATTTAATTTCTCTGGGTAAATATAATTTCATTTCACATATATATGTGTGTGTGTGTGTGTGATGATGAATTAATATAGAACCTCTTGCATGGATTCTTTGGCAGACTGAGCAGCATTGCTAGCCTTGTCCATCATGCCGCTAGCCTTCTCCTGCAATAATATTACCCACAGAATCATGTCTACATATATACTTACATCAAATAAAAAACTTCTCAAAACCCATCAGATTTAAAACTATTTGTTTTACAAATCCAAGCAGTAACGGTCTGAGGTTATAAACGAGATTGAATTCAGTCTCCACTTACGGGAGAGCATTCATGCCATTTGGCTACAATGCCATTAACATTTGTGTTATATATATACATATATATATATATATATAGAGAGAGAGAGAGATACCTCAGCTTGGCCCTTGGCTTGTCCAGCATTGTAGCTTATGTTGTTCTGGGAGTCCATTTTCTTCTTTTTGAAGCTGTAAAATAATTAAACTGAGAATGTATTGAAGATGAAGAATAAGTAGAAGTAGATCGTGTTGCAGATTAACTTCCCAGAGCACCCATATATATATGGGGAGATTGTGGTTCTTGAAGGCGTATTTTGCTCATTTTGGTGATTTGGATTGGAAGAATTCAATTCAAAGAGACTCTCTTTTAATGACAAATGGCTTTGTATTCTAAAAATGAGGCTTTTCATTCTTTCTTGACCACACAATATGTGGAGCAGATTAATTGATCATGTTTATTTACTCATGATTTTTCTACTTAATTATATACATTAATTAAATTGAATGAATTTTGTTTATTAAATATCGATTATGATCGAATTCTCCTTATGCCTTAGGCTATTCCTCCAACGTAAAATAATCCGATGCTGCATATGACTGGTTTTTTAACGAAATTTTATTTTTTAAAAAAGCATTATAAAAATTGTGTTTGATGATGAAACTATTTAATGAAAATCTAATCAACTTTTTCAAGTCAAATATAAATTGTTAGAAAGAAGTTACTACATTTAGCAAAGCTTAACACGGAACAACAAAAGCGATGCCATTTGTTCAAGTTTATTTCATAAAAAAATCACTTGTTTTTGGAAAAAAAACTACTTGTGTTAGATTTTATGATTTTGATTAACCTTTTGAAAAAAGTTCAGAATCTGAAAAGTTATATATTTCTAATTAACGAGGTAGATGAGAGTTTGGTCAATAAAAAAAAAAAGAAAACAAAGGTAGATAAGAGGGAATATCATGAAAATGTGGAGATATGCAAATATGTAATAGAATTTGAAAATAAATAAATAATGTATGAATATATCACAAAATCTGAAAACCACAAAGTAATAATAAATTTTTATGATTGTAGCCAAATGCAAAATAATTACCGTTTTTCATAAAATCTCTACGCAATAAATCACTCCTTATAGAATCTATAAACTATCTAAAAATCACTTATCTTTTAAACTTAAAACAAACAGGACCTTGATTATTATTGTTATTAGCATCAACATGATAATTATATATTACCATGATTTAATCAAGATTTAAGATCATTTCTCTTCAGCCTAACATTAACATTTTCTTTTGTTAGCATATTTAATGTGCCCATACCATATATGACTCATATTTAAGAGTAATTCAGAAAAGTTAACCTCAATGGCGCGAATCCATATTAGCCAGGTTCTAATGTGATTTTTTTATTTTTGATGTTGAATGGTATTTTTTTTTTAACAAAAAAAAAAAGCATGATTAAATACATTTTATGTCTCTGTACCATGAAGGCATGGAGAGAAGACCAACCAATTATTAGTTGAGATTATAAAGTCTTATTGTGATAAGAAAAAAAAAAATATAAGTTTGAATCCCAAAAAACACATTTATTCCCGACCTGATAGATATTAGTCTAAAGTACAAAATAACTTGAATTAAAATAAAAAAGATCATCCGCCTACACTCCATGCATGAGAGGTGGAAGGGTAAGATTGGAATCAAAGCGAAGCATCTGAGGCAGAAGAGCGGGAAGAATCTAGCAAGTCAGTATTGTCATTATGCATGCTTGTTTATCTGCTGCTTCTTTTGATGCATATTCTCTCTCTGTCGTTATCCGTAAATAAAAACAAAGATGTTGTCGTGAGTAGAATAACGAAAGACTTCAAGACCAAATCCCGAAATGCCATATCACTCAACACTGTCACTAAAAAATTGAAACAAAGTTCTGTAACAATTTCATACTTGCACGATTGGGAAATGAGTACAGAGACTCGTATCAGCTCTAAATTAAAAAATATTTTAAAAAAAAAAAAACAACAACAACAAAGACAAAGATTGAGTTCCATACACATCAAAGCTTCATAACTTCGACGCCTCACTATCCAAGTCACTATACATAGAACACAACATGGGGTCAACACCAGACAAATATACAACACCAGAAAAACCTTCATTGGGCAGAATGCTTTCCAACTACTTCTGCAGGTTGAAGTGAATACCAGTCCATCTCTGCTTTGTGCTACTGCTTCAATTTCTCTCAAATGTTTGAAATTCTCTCCTTTTTATCATGTTGTCAGTTTTCAACAAGCTGTCGAGATTCTCGAGGTTGAAGTTGAACAGACTTGCCATGCTGCTTCTCATACTGTTGTCTCAGTTCCTCTAAACGCTTGGATACCTGGAAACCATCAGAACTTGGACATATGAACAAAGAACAAAATCTATAGCATAATATGTTGGAAGTCAAGAAATTACAAATCCAAGAACGGATGAAATAAAGCACTATCTTTAGTTCTTAATATAAGATCCAGTCTATAGTTCATCTTATATTTAAGATCAGAGGCAGTGATAAACAGTACATAACAAACTCCTAGAACTTTTTGAATTCATTACTAAAACAACGAATGCCAAAAAAGCCATTTAAATTCTCTATTTATGCACTTTATTTTCTAACTGCTAAATTCATTCTTAATAAGTGCCAAATAAATTAGAACGTGGCCATCTCTGGAGCTTTGAACAACAAGGTGAAGATCATTGTTTGATCTATCACATCCACCTATTACCAAGCCAACAGAGTGTTGCATAGCAAGATAACTTCTACAAATAAAAACCTTGTGGGAGTTCAGAAACGCAATAATTTATCATGTAATACATATTGTGCTGAAGATCCCAGCAAAGGGGAGAAATTTTAAATTTGGATGTCAATGAGTGCACAAAAGATAAAGCAGAAAAAAGAAGAGAACCTTGAAGGAATAGGCCAATGGTAATAATGTGTCAGGATCCATTGCATCCTCAGGGAAATTCCGCAAGGCATGTATCAGTTTCTCGAAAGGCAATTTTATCTGGTAATTGAACCAAAGTATTAGCAGAAAAAATGCTGACTGGCTTTTGCAGTGAGCGAACAGAATTCATAAGGTTATATGACACTCACCAAGTCATCATGGCAATACTTTAGTAAGGCCAAGCCAACTTTGAAAACAATAACAACGCCCTGAAAGACAAAAATGTCATTATCATCATCATCATCTTCTTCATATATATATATATACACACACACACACACATAATTACAAACCAATATCTATTAAGAGCAGTTGTTGCTAACCTCGTTCAAAAAGACATCCCAGATTCTAAGAGCCAAATGGAACGGAAAGGAGTATGAAAACACAGTTATGAACCACTGGCTTGCATACATGCTAGGATTTATCATTTCGTTGGCAAAATGTTCTCCCAACTTAGGCAGGTGCTCCCTCACCAAGTGTTCAAGCTGAAAGAGATACTGTTGTACCAGAGGCAATCCTGCCTGCATTAAAACGAAAAGAACCACATGAAAAGAAAGTTCATCTCATTGAAGAATACATTATAAAAACAAACAATCTGCAATGTATCCAACAATTTCCAAATAGGAATATCTATACCAGAAAAAAAGGAGGGTGCACAATCAATGTCAGGAGGATTGTATGATCAAAACGAGATCAATATAGAAACAGGTTCTGACAACTAGATGTAGTTGAGTAGCAGATACTGATATTTAGTACTAAAGCATACTAGAAGATAAAATGTAGACCGATCATATATTATACCACATCAAATTAAAAAACCAACAAAAACTTTAAATGAAAATCATTCTAAGCTTAAAGAATATTCTTTTCCTGCCTTCTAGCAGAGACAGGCCTTAAAGATATGCTCAACATGAATATAGACTGATTTTAGAAGCTTTTTCAGGTATGTAATGTCTACCACTATTTTCAAATTAATTTTTTTCCTTTTGTATCACCTTTTGATTAGATAAAAACATTTACTTTTAGTTTAATTTATTTTAAGTGATTTTATGTTGTACAAAATAAATATGTGAAACATAGAAATATTTTTTTCAGGGGATGCCAAACAACCGCTGAGTTTAACTATTTAATTAAACTCCCTAACTCTCATATTCAGACCTAAATTTCAGGGATGTGGCATAAAAACACAAGGCTAAGGAGTGTAATGTGTGAACTTTGTTAGAAAATTTTAGGACTCTACATGTTGATAATCAACATTAAAAAAGATAAGACCACATTCCTTAGTTGCAATTGCCAACCATTAGCTATAACCTAATATTCGGACACTCGATCATAACATTAAATTCCTTTGCTGGTAAGTTCAAGCTGTCCAAATCAGACAGCTTGTTTTGGTAGCTTTAAAACTAAAATCAGTTCAGACTTCCAAACAGGGTAGTGAAAGGGTTAATGCAGTTTACCTTTTAAAAGAAAATAACAATGGGATACTCTGGAAGAAGAACAAAACAAAATTGCTTTTCTTCTCCCTCATATTACACATATGATATGACAGTATTAGAATATATAGTAGATAGAAGGCCCCATTACATACTGTAACTCAAATTGCTAGTATTTCATGCAGCATAGTATTTCGGGTTATAAACATAAGAGTACTTACACTTTCCAAAGTATTTTCTCCTTACATAGCAAGGAGATAAGCTGGGATTGTACTACACTCATGATAGAAAAGACTATGCAACAGATAAGATTGGGACTGAAGGATATACGATACTCAAACTGAACGCTTGCTAAAGGATAACACTGCCCAGTCTGCGTTAGCAATCATACGACATATGAGTTGGCAATCATCTATATATGATCCCCCAACAATCCTTCAAGAATGATAATGGAAGATGCAATAATGACAGGAGAATATATTGCCATGTTTTTGGACCAAACGCAGCTTAAAGAGATTCATATTCAAACAGACCTCGGGTAGAGCAGACAGTGGCTCGGTTGATGCACAGGTAATACAAAAGGCCCAAAAACACACTATAAAACATTAAATCATCAAAAAAGTGGGAGAAAACACACTAAAGAAGCAGGGGACGAAGCAAAATAAACCACAAAGACCAGGTTGTTTGAGTGAATGACCAGTCAAGGTGTAAAGATGATCTTCCCCAATCCCTACTATGATCTGACCGGACTGTTGCTATGGT